TAAGAGTAGTTATATAGCTATACTAAAAGAGAGGGAGTTTTTCTGCTAATTTAGCTACTCTATTTATCTAATCTTAATTCTATTAAAAATCTATAGATAACTCTAAAAGAGTGGATCTATAAGTAATATTCTTATCTTAAAGACCTTCTAAAGAATACTGCCTCTTTAGATCTTTTAATTAATACTGCAATTAAGCTATAAGCTGAGATTAAAGAGAAGTGTAACGTGGAAGCTGTACGGGGAGGCCTTCAGGCCTCTATCGGCAGCGTCACGCTATATAATAGGTGTGTGTGCACAGCTTTAGTGCGATAACTGCTATAGACGCTAGGTCATTGCAACAGGGCTCTAGTGCCACGATCCCTGTTACAAGAAGGTATTTAAAAATATTATAAATTTAATATCTATATAGATATAGATAGTTATAGATATAAATAGATAGTATATAAAATATTAATATAAATCCTAATATTCTCTAGCTTCTAGGCTTCAATTTAATCTAGTCTATAATTTTCTATAACTTTAATTAATATTGTGGAAGCTGGCTGAAGATTATGGTGTTATTGTGGAAATTCAGGTGGATCCGGGTATTGTCGGTTTTTTTGCAACCGACTGTGGTTTGGTGGGCCAATTGAGAGTACTTGCACCAGGCGCTTCATGGACGGCTTGAACCAGGCTGTCGCAGAAACATTTCAGGCTTGATAAATTTAGCACCAGTACATGTCATCTAGAGGAGAAAAGAACGAGTCATAGCGTCAGGTTTCAAAATGCATATCCCCACGCTTCCGATTCAGCCCCCGAACATGCAGTGCGGCATGGTTACCCAGCCTACTGGAGTTCTTTTACATAATGGAAGAATCCCAGCCAAATGATATTGATAGCATTGTGCATAGACATCCAATCCACCCAATGATTGTCCGCCTTCATGCAGGGAGTTTCAGGCTGGCGCCTAACGCACAAATACCAGGTCCACCAACAGTTCGCCAAGAGTTGTAATATTTGCGTCATCGGTCCTCCCGACTCAGTGGTACCGCGATCGATCTGCTTCAGTCACCATCGATCGAAGTTTAACGTGGGTTCGGAGACACATTCTCACCAAAACAAGACTGACAACATAGTGGTTTGAACTTGAGGCAAGAGACTGTATAAGCCCATTTCCGACATCAATTTTCCTGGCTGATCTAGCTTCAATCCAAAGAGCTGGGTTCCTGCTGAAAGCTGTCTCACTTCATACACGTACAGCTGATTTGCCTGCCGCAGCTCCATCTTCTGAACCAGCTGATAGCCAGCACACCACGCGTCTTCCTCACTTCGGGTGACCCTACTGGCCGGCTGTTGACCGCCATGCAGACATAAATACCCGTAGCGGCATGTGTCAACCATTCCACTTTTTCATCTTCACTGCAGTTTATTGGTCGCCACGGCGGTAAAACGAAACCGATTTTGTGCACATTCGCATTTCTTGCTCGAGGCCACCAATTATGAAAGTCTCCAAACACCACAAATGCCAGATGCATATGCAGAGCAAGCCTCACGATAGCCACCTCCCCCAAAATATCCAATCTTTACTGTCGCTTATCGCTTGGCTGCATTTGATACATACCGCGCTGCGATACTTGGTTGAACCGATGTTTGCTGGCACATAAAAGTCTCACCCCAGCGCGTATATTATCCACTGTTTGCAAGCACCCAAACCTGCAAATCGCCACCGTACTTTTTATAAACATACGCGTATTGTAAGCATGGAGGTCAGAGTCTGCCGCAAGTCTTGGCGGGATGTTCCAGCTATAAGTATGCGTGGACCCCTGCTGGAAAAAGGTCAATAAAATTAAACCACCCAGTTTAAGATCACTGCCAGATTCATCCCGATAGTACTTCTTCAAATCGGTTGCCCTTCATGTCTGTTGCTCAATCAAGAATTGCTGGCACATTTGCCTATTTCGGTTGGACCCTTGCACTGGCCATCTATGGTGAGTGCCTTCTGATTTGCGTCGTACCTGGTTTAATTTGTGACAGCAACGGCCATCTGGTATTTTCCCGTGCCTGGGATTGAGAAGTCGTACATTGTTCAACTCTCAATCAACTCCACCGAGCATGTGCAGGTTGATCTTGGCCTTTTTCGTAAGTGCTTCTGGGAAACGCTTTTCCCTGTCACACAGCTGACGTCTTAGGACTCTGCGTCTCACATCCATCCAATGTCTCGTTGCAATCTTGCCTAGACTCGTTTGGCTTACCCAACGACAAGGACCCTCTACAGTTTGCATCCAGCTTTATCCAGAACATGCACTTGGAAAACCTTCCCAGTCATGAGTACAACAAGACGCTCTCTGCTCTGCTGATACTGCTCGAATCCTCCGCAGAGAGATGTTTCAAGGATTTGACTTTGTTGCGGGCCGCTGGCGTCACTCTTCTCGGGAGGCTGTTTCTGGTCTTTCCAGTTTTTTTCAACCCTCGGCACAGATATGCCATCTGGCGAGTATTGATGGCGGCCGTCGGCACTATCACTGGGGTTTGGGCCTCGTGGCAGCTGGTGCCGCAGTGTCTACCACATTACGCACGCAATCGCTCCTTGACGACTCCGGATTCATTGACCATTAACCTCGGAACCGGGACCTATTTCTGCGACAAGCGGAGATGTTCTTGGCACGTTTCTCAAGTGCGGCATTATCGCAACGGAGTTTTCGTCGTGCTGGTTGTGGTCGCCGCTTTCCTACGTGATGGTAGGATTTTCACGACTACCAAAGACCGTGGCGATGATCCATCCGACACAGAACTCAGACCGCCTCCAGCTTACGGTACTTCAGAAGGCAATCTATTGGACCAAGCAAAAGCCGACAAGCCCAACGTGGTCACGGGTTGACCGCCGTTGTTGGGAGGGCAAGATATTATTTCTTACCGCCCAACCCGACAAGGTTGACCTTGGGGAGAAGGTCGGGGTTTCTCAAAATGCCGACAGCGGCCTTTTGTGTAGTCATTTCAGTTTTCTCTGGACGTTAATTGAATCGCGCAAGCCTCAATTACCTCATATGGCACTCTGGTTGTCGTATATCGCACCTCGGAGATCTAAAGAATGCCGAAACTGTAAACGCTTAGTTCAGATGTGGTTAAGCGGCAGTATTTTCTCTCCACATTCGACTTGCTATCAAAGTTAAAATGGTCTCATGCAGTCCGCTTCCCGGAGAATACGGTGTCCGTGTCCAACGGTGAATACAAATACTCTCCGAGATTGACGCTTTCTGCAGTGAAAGGACATCATTAAACATAATTCCTCGCTTTCACTTATATTCATCATCATGGTCAACGTTGCAGTCCTGGGAGGTACAGGCCATGTCGGCAAAACCATTGTAGAAGTCCTCAACGATGACCCAAAGCACTCGGTCATTATCCTCAGCCGCAAGGTACGTCCAGGTGATGCATAGTACTAAAACCGCCGACTAATAAATCCCCGGCCCATTGCAGACATCCACTCCTGACACTGGTGTGCCACTGGTTGCAGTGGACTACGCCGATGTACAGTCTTTGAAGGCGGTTCTTGAACACCACAAGATCCACACCGTCATCTCTTGTGTTGGAGTTCACGATCAGGCCATTGCCGATGTGCAGGCTGCGGTGATCCAAGCCGCTGAAATCTCTTCAACAACGAAGCGCTTCGTCGCGAGCAACTGGGGTACACCGTACAATCCAAAGTTTGTGTGACATGATCCATCCATCTTATCTATGCTGATATCGTGAAGGGCCGATAAGATTGCGCCTTGGGCTCAGCTACGGCGACAAGGCCCGGATAGTTTGCGCCAGTCCAGTTTAGAATGGACTGAAATCTTGAATGGCTATTTTCTCGACTACTGGGGCATGCCTCGCATCAAGTCGCACATGACGTCCATGACGCCAGTGATTGATATCGCCAACAAGGTGGCCGCTATTCCCGGTACAGGGAATGAAGTCATTTCATTTTCATACACATTTGATGTGGCTAGGGTAGTTTCCCGCATGCTGGAGCTCAACACTTGGGAGGAAGCTACCTACATTGTTGGTGATAAGCTCACATGGAACGACTTTCTTCGTCTTGCTGAAGAGGCCCGAGGTTTGTTCACTCCACACGGTGCTCTAAGATTACTTCTCACACGAGAATTAGGTTCCAAATTTGAAGTGCAGTATGACAGCGAGGAAAAGCTCAGCCAATTCCAGATTACTGAGTTGCCGAATCACAAGGCCGTGTATCCCTTCTTCCCAAGGAACATTTGCAGTTCTTGTTCGCCGCTCTAGAGAGGTTGATGGTCATGGGTGACTTCGACCTTCCGATTGAGAAGGCATTGAACAAGCGTTTTCCGGACATCAAAATGCTCACTGTTGCTGAAATGCTTGAGGAAACATGGAAGGGTCACTAGAGAGTGCTGGTGCACAGCACCTAGAAGCTGACGGCAGTGCTGTGAAGGAATTAAGCCAAGGTTTCCAGGTATAGAACACGGCATTGGTCAGCGCCACTCGCTCAGAATCAACGAAATCACGCCGTGGTTACTAGGAGGAGGATAGATAGAGGTAAATAAGTATCAATACAAGTCTGGACAAAGTCAGTGCAAAAGGACATCACACTTGACAAGGCCCAGCCCGTAAATGACACGGGAAGGGCCTTGACCCGCTGTAGACCGGCTCCCAATTTTGGAAAGACAATCCGAGAACCGAACGATGCTGGTGAGGCTGTTTGGCGCGACCGAGATCTCCTACATCCAGCAACTCCGCCTTGGCGTATGATGTGCAGAGGGGCTACCTAGCAGCGTTTCCATATCACGCCTTTTGCAAGGTCGATTCCTAACGGTCACCCATGGGATAGAAATTTTATCCTCCAATCAAGACTGTAGAGTTTCTCGAGCTATGTTCTCAGAAAAACAAAATATCTTCCAAAATTAAGATTCTCCACTGTCTGATCTTTCCCTGGTTCGTGCTTGTGCATCCACAGGCACGTGCGGGATGCTATGTAGAAACAGACCCTACTCCTGCCCTCAATCGGGCGAATGGTTTTAGTGGGTATAATACTCCCTTAGCAAGATTTCTTATAGATATCTGGGAGTGGTCCAGGGTTCGATTCCCTGTTCGTCCAATTTCAGTTGTTTGATTCACTTAACACAAATATTCCATTTTTTGTGGTTTGCATCATCTTTTTAGTATTGTCCTAAAAAGGATTAAGCTCAATTGGCTGTCTTTAAATACAAGGGGCCTTTAAACTTTCTGGAATTAACACAAGCCCTACTTTTACATATCAAGCCTGTATAAGTCTATGATTGGTTTTGCAGCCTATTAACCAAGCGGCCCTGCTCTAATAGTAACCCGGCACCTGCTTTTCTCACCAGTCGCTACGCATATGGCATCCTGCACGGTCGTCACATATCATAGTGTGCAAGGGTCAAAACTTTAGGTCCAGTTAAGTGTAGCATTCGTTAGGGGTACCCCTCGTTATACATTATGTTGATGCAATATTTTCTCTGGATACAACACATAAAGCTAAGACTGCTACTGCACTAAGACTCCTATACATACTAACCCAATAGCCTTCAAAGCGGCACTGCTAACATTCCAGCCGAACTCCTAGGAGTTGTTGTATCTTGTATTACAGCTGATGTTGCTGCAGATGATAAGTTTCCACTTGTTGTCGTTACCAGGACCTGCCCTCCGGCGTTTCCCAGTTGTCATTGTTTGCTCTGGTAAAATAGACCCTGAGCTTTGGACCGGTAACGTATTGGTCTCTATCGACGTATTAGCTGGCTGCGATGAGAAGCTCATAAACTATAATACAAAGGGGTGCTACCTTGTGTTGTGTTCTCGCCGCCACCGTATTCGTCTTCGTCTTCACCGCTTTTCTCGCGCATAGCCAAAACGACGTACTCCCCATCTATGTCGGATAGACCGGTAACCTTGATTCGACTCTCTGACTCGAGAACTTCCTGCTTTGTCATGACTTCAAACGCTTCCGTCTGGTTTCGCTTGTCGTTCCTTCGTGCGACCACGAGACGCTCATTACGACATCCCGGGAACCTTTGTTGCTAATATTTCTCTATTGACTAAGTCAAAAGGTTAGTCAAGCACAGGATGAGAAGGTTGGGTATGACGGCTATGCCGACGACGACTTACACGGGATTCGCATGTCCACAGCCAGATTGTTCCCGCTGGGAGCTGTTGTATTGATACTCCATGCAAACGAATCTACAGATTCAGGAAGTTAGGGCTGACGCTGAAGACATCCAGAGACGAGTTGGTTTGGGGTTTCATACTTAGAGGTACAGCACCATCCGGCATCGCCGCACCATCCACGCCAAATGGGATATCCGCGTTCAAAGTAAATGGCTCTGCTGATTTGATACTGAAACGTAGCCCGTCGACGAACTCAGCTTCTTGGGTTGCATTTCCGCCAGTAATGTTGACCGTTCGAGTTGCCCCTTGACCATATTGCACAAAGATATTTGTAATATCTTCAGTCTTGCGGCCTAGAAGCATAAACTCGCCTTCAAGGGAGGTCATCTTGATAATGCGGGTTTTGTTCTCGGTGCTATTGATCTCATTAGTATGTGCTGCCAGGGAGATCGATGCCTGGCATCTCTGGGCGTGCATTACACATGTACGTTTCTCTGCGATTCAGATACAACCCACGACTTCTTATCCGTGGATAGCGTCCCGACATAGGTATTCCCTACGGCAATGCCCTGCTCTTCCAAAGAGACTGGGTCGTATGGCAGCTCGATTTTGCAATAAGGTCATTGGCTGTCTCGTTGAACTTGATAATCCAGCTGTAGTTGGAGAGGTTGATAAAGCCTTCACCAGAGCTACCAGTGACAAATTACCCGGAAGCGGCGACGTGTTGTTCGTCACGACCAACGTACGGTTGGTCGGCGAGAAAAGATCCAGAGCCAAGCCATCGACAAAGTCCTGGTCAGTTCTTGCCATCTCATTCCACTGTTAGTACTTACAACAGAGCCGGTGATGGGAGTTTATCGCCTTACCTTGCCGAGAACCTGAATGGTGTCGCCAAATTGGGCCAAATCCTCCTCTTGAGCAGTAGTGACTGTTATTCCAAGAAGGCAGAGAACAGCATAGGTCGCTAACTGGCGACGAAGAAGTTGCAAATACATGGCAGTAAAATGCGCCGAGCAGCCTTGAAAAATGATGAAGATGAGGATTTCTTGTAGCGAGTCGCTAACAGCTTATAGAGTTACAATTCAAGCTTACATCGTGCCTCAGCGGTGCCGGCTATTATATATATGCGGATTTTGCAGTCGAAGAGGATGCAGTAGCTGATACCTTAGACCCCTTCAGTGTTACAGGGCCATTTAGTTTCCAACGCAGAATATCGTACCTGCGCAGCCAATATGGAGGGCTGTGGCATATACGGAGTATGGAAATAGACCAAATCCCTCTAGAGAAGGGAGAAAGCGGGGTGTTTCAGAACAACAACGTTCCAGAACACCGGGATGCCAAGCCACCTGTTTCTCCGATGCTTCATGCCCACAGGGGCCAACAATTAACCCTCTACAAGCGAACGCCGACCTTCTAAAGCCGACACTATCGCTGGCCATGTAACTTGTCACATCCTTTCGGGTATCGGCATTGACAACTTCCGTAAGCCACTACCAATGAAGCCCGAAACTGCTTTAGTCAGTTTGGTGACGGCGTCATTTAGCAAGGTCGCAGCCGGCACCTCCCTTTCCGTGGCCGGAACTCTGGTGGTTCAATGGTGGAGGGTGCACACTCCCAACAGGGTTTACCTAGTTAATTCATGTATGGCCATCTCGGCCTCGGAGATACGAGGTCGGAAATGTACCCTCTTGGGGGCTTCCATGCTAGCGGAGTTGAAACAACCGGGGGTACTCCAAACATGCCAAACAACAGGGATTGCCAAGCAACAACATCAGCTAAATTTTTCAGCATGAAGGCCTGAGCGTGCGCTCGCCCGGGTACTCGCAATGCAAAAGGATGTAGCCATTCACTAGTATGCCACATCTTAGATGCCTTCCAAGATGAATGTAGAGTTTTTGCGACAACGAACCAGTTGGTCTGTAGATTGGTTCATCAGTCTATAGTCCTTGTTAATACTTTGGAGGAACTGAAAATAGGCGATGAACAGCGGAGTCAGGTATATCCAGCCGCGAAAGCGCCCTGCCATCGTGGCCTTAAAACCTGATGATGCAATACGAAGTAAAAGGCCTCTAAGCGCAGATATTTCCTCTAAAACTCTAATAACCACGTTCTATATCACAAACACATGTCTATACCTTCAATGCACCGGACTCGCTTTTCTCCTTCTCGTTCTCTATTTTCGTCTTCGTTCTCTCCACCCTCCACTGAGCGCCCCAGAACCAATGGACAACTGCCAACGGTCCAACCGCAACAATCATCATGCCCAAGCCCAAAAAGGCCGCTCCGGGACCAACCGCCGCAAGCATTGGCTCTATAAACGCTACACCTACGGCGCCGAGACTGCATCGTACAAGATTATTCATTGCCGAAGCGCTGGCGCCTTTGCCGGGACAGAGATCAGAGACTAGAGTCTGGTTGAGGGAGAAGATGCCGTTGCTCGTTGCTGCAATGAAGAATTGCAGGGTAAGGGGGACGGGCAATCCAGCCTGGGAGGCTGGTGAGGGGCGTGCTGAGGGAGAGGCCGTAGGTTGATGTCGAGAGAATGAACACTGACGTGAAGAGAGGCAGGCGACGGAGGCGAGCGTGTTCAATAGGGAAATCGACAGGTAGGGACTTTGAAGAGAGGGGGGAGGTGATGTTATGGGTTGTTTTGTAGGCCGCTTCGGTGGCAAGGTAGTCTTTTGTCAAGAACTTGCCGGCGAGGGAGGAGCCTACGATTGTGCCGAAGCCTGTATTGGTATTAGACGAATGGAATCACAGAGCTGGTGACGATTTGGAAGGATGGTGGTTTGTTGACTTACCATTGGGTAAAAATGCTAGGGCCGACTTGAAGCTCGCTGAGGTTGAACTTTTCTTTGAATAATCCAGTCGTGCTGGATGTTACCATGCTCCAGATGGCATAGACAACTCCACCAAAGATCAGGTTGATGAGTATGTCCTTCTGAATGAGCAGTTTCAGTGGCTCGGTAAATGTGCCGAGGGTTATTTTCTTCCGGCTCCTCTCTTCCGGCTCCTGCATATATTCGGGTTCCTTTCTGAATCTCTGAATCAAGGGTTTGTAGACTCCTTGGAGACGTAGTGTTCCGTTTCCCGCGATGGTTCGCATCGTTTCAGGGAGAAAAAAGATGATTACGAGTATGGTAATCGATGAAAGAATGAGGAGGAAGATGAAGATGGAGCGGAAGCCGAAAAAGTTGCTTAAAATACCACCGAGGACGGGGCCAATTGCGATACTAAAGTTGCGGACTGCTTCTTCGTTAGGATGAAGGGTAAACAGGGCTCTGATGCGGGATTCACGTACTGGAACTGTAGAAGCTGATGAAGGCTCCTCTCTCTGCTGGTGGAGTAATGTCTTGAATGACTCCGTTACCTGTCGTAGTTAGTTGTCCTGTGCATTAAAGAGTGGTAATGTTTAAATGGGTTCTACTCACCGATGCTCACTGTAGAGGCGCTGCCTGCTGCCTGAAGTCCCCGGAAGATAAGGAGGACCGCAAAGTTCGGGGAGAAACTGAGGGCGATGTTGGCGACAATATAGACGGAAAAGGACGCGATGTATATAGGACGGCGGCCCAACGCATCGGAAATTGAGCCCCAGAACAGGGGAGAGATGCCTTGAATGATTAAGTAGGATGTGATGGTCAAGGAGACCATATCCAAGCTGACATTTAGATCCTAGAATAGAGTTAGGAGGATATGCCAATTCATGAAATAAGGGTGTATTTACCCGTGCAATGGCATCCAAGGATGGGAAGAAGATGTTGGACGACAGTCCAGAAAATAGTCCAGCGACGCCAATAATAGCGATGACGAACCACTTTTGCTTCTGCGAGAAGATATGGTACGGTGGCTCTGGTTCGGCCACTGCTTCCGCAGTGTTTGAATCATCGAATGGATTCTGGGTATCCTGCCGCGGTTCTGTAGAACGAGAATCGTCGAAGGGATTTTCGGACTCTAACCTATCGCCAGTCCAAA